TGGGAAATCAGTAGCTCTATCTCCACAAACATGACTTTAAATAATAGAACGTGATCTCTGCCCTGGCATGGGATCAAGCAGTACAAATCTGTGTCTAGATATTACATCTTACTGCATGTCAAGGCCACCTAGACAGCTGGTGATACTGTTAATACCACAACTCGCTTTCTCTTTCATCTCATCTAACTTGTTCTCCAGTAAATTGTTTAAAAAAATGATCTTTTGATAGGTTTTTGAAAGTAAAATAACTCAAATGTGTACAAAGCTATTTTCTTAAAATAGCGTGTTTTAAGAAGGGCCAGACTCAGACATTTAAAATGTGTAGAAGTTGTGAACTCATTTACTGTGGGATTGTGCAGACACTTTAGCTCACCCCATTCCAAGACACATGAAGTGACTGCAGTTTTCAGATACACTGAGTCATTCCTGTGGCACCTCCTCCCTGTGTTGCCAGAAATATTGAAACACCGACCCTAGTGTGCTCTCTTAGCATCGTGTGCACCATGGACTTTCTTTGCATGAGTAAGAGGAGTAAGCAAACCACAAAGCATTAGATTTCAGAACTATCATCAGTGGCCACAAGCACTTAATCAAATATCCTTCAAAGTCAGTTTTTAAGGAAAAAACACTGTCCCACATGACATCCTTGTCTCTAAACTGGAGAGACATGGATTTGATGGATGGACCACTCAGTGGATAAATTGGCTGGAATGGCTGCATGCATTGTGGTCAATGGCTCAATGTCCAGCTGGAGACCAGTGACAAGTGGTGTTTCTCAGGGATCAGTGTTGAGACTGATCTTGTTCAGCATCTATGTTGGTGACATGGACAGTGGGATTGAGCGCACACTCAGCAAGTTTGCCAATGACACCAAGCTGTGTGGTTCGGTTGATACGCTGCAGGGAAGGAATGCCATCCAGAGGGACCTTGACACGCTTGTGAGGTGGGCTGATGCCAACCTCAGGAAGTTTAACCATGCCAAGTGCAAGGTCCTACACCTGGGTCGGAGCAATCCCAGGCACAGCTACAGGCTGGGCAGAGAAGGGATTCAGAGCAGCCCTGTGGAGAAGGACTTGGGGGTGCTGGTCGATGAGAAAATGAACTTGAGCCGGCTTCAGTGTGCGCTTGCAGCCCAGAAAGCCAACTGTATCCTGGGCTGCATCAAAAGCAGCGTGACCAGCAGGTCGAAGGAGGTGATCCTGCCCCTCTACTCTGCTCTTGTGAGACCTCACTTGGAGTATTGTGTGCAGTTCTGGTGTCCTCAACATAAAAAGGACATGGAACTGCTGGAACAATTCTAGAGGAGGGCCACGAGGATGATCAGGGGACTGGAGCACCTCCTGTATGAAGACAGGTTGAGAAAGTTGTGGCTGTTCAGCCTGGAGAAGAGAAGGCTGCGTGGAGACCTCATAGCAGCCTTCCTGTATCTGAAGGGGGCCTATAGGGATGTTGGGGATGGACTCTTCATTAGGAACTGTAGTGGTAGGACAAGGGGTAATGGGTTAAAACTTAAACAGGGGAAGTTTAGATTGGATATAAGGAGGAAGTTCTTTACTGTTAGGGTGGTGAGGCACTGGAATGGGTTGCCCAGGGAAGCTGTGAATGCTCCATCCCTGGCAGAGTTCAAGGCCAGGTTGGACGAAGCCTTGGGTGACATGGTTTAGTGTGAGGCATCCCTGCCCATGGCAGGGGGGTTGGAACTTGATGATTGTAAGGTCCTTTCCAACCCTAACTGTTCTATGATTCTATTCTAAAAATAAAATAACACCACCCAACACCTCTGCTTGCTGAGTGTCTGAGGCTTTTTCCCCTTCACCTGACAGTACTGTAAGTGCAGGTGATTCTGATGAAGCCTTAGAAAGGAAGGGATGTTAAATGAATGATCTGAAGCTAAAAAGAAGTTTCATTGTGTCTATAAACCAAAAACATGGGCATAACACAAAGCAGCCCAGCGTGTTTTAGGCAGATATTTCTCTTGCCCTTTCCAGTCAGTGAAAAATAAATGGTAATGGGCTGGTGCTGAGCCCTGGCACATCAGCTCCTGAGTTACAGCTGACCCCCACACAGACGTGGGTGCTGTGATGGGTATGGAAAGCAGGGGGGGTGAGGCCATGGGATGGTTGTTACCGTGGGTCCAGGGAAAGGAAGCCAGAGTGGGACCTTGTGGAATCAAAGGGTGATGTTTTTTTCTGAATGGCAGGTACTTTGCTCACTGTCAGTGTCCCATGGGTCACCTGCACCCAGGCACCCTTCCCCTCTGTGCTTGGGGTGACAGGCCAGTGCCACCTGCTGTCGAGCCCTGGAACAGCTCTTGGGTTCTTTGCTGGTGCCCAACCGTCTGTTTTCTGGATGTGCCTTTTGTATCCTTTAGGAATCTCTCATGATCTTTAAGTCAAAGGCAAAATTCCTGCTTCCTATTGTTCTGTTTTCTTTATCAGCATGTTTTATGGCACCTCTCCTGTTCCTCCTCATCTCTTTACCTTAGCTTGAGGTTTCAGTTTGCTCTTTGCCTTCTTGCTACAAAGTCCTTTGAATGAATTTACTTCTGCAATGCCCTGTAGCAATGACCTATTCCTTTACTCAACCCTATTCTGTTTCTTCCAGTGCTTTCACATGCACCTTTTCATTCATCTTCACCAACTTCAAGACTTCTGTTACAAATACTCTGACCTGTGCCAAGAGCATTGTTCTCACCGATGTCCAGACATGATTTGGCCGTAGGTACTGGTTCCCACAACCAACATGGCCGCTGTTTCCAGGAGGTAGAAAAAAGTAGTAGGGATGTGACCCACACATTGCTATGTGCTCTTAGGGCCACAGAATAGCCCAGGCTTGGTGTTATTTATTGAGGATACACAGCAATACCTCTATTTATGGAGAAGCCAGGAGCCATCTCATGCATTTTGCATTTGGATTGCTCAAGAGCTGCCGACCAGCGTGGACAGTCCCTGGTGGTTTTGGATCATCTCAAGTGGATCTCTCTATGACCAAACAGTTACAAATGTGGACAGCCCTAAACCAGCATGGATGTGGGACAGTTTGTGCTAGGCAGCTCAGCCATCAAGGATCTCATTCTAGGCCTCTGGTTTCTTATTCACCAGTAGTAGGCACAGTCAGTATATATTGCTCCCAAGATCTCATTGCAGGTCTGTAACATACAAGATTCCCCAAAAACAAATGAAAGCTGGGTTAAATTTTGCCCTGTGTTTCTTAAAATCTAGGCCACTGTTTCAATGCAGCTTATGAGGAAGTTACCAAGAAAATAAAGACAGAACACTGTTCAAATTACTTATGAATTTGTGTATTTTCTATTTAAATTTGTAAGGCATATGAAAAGAGTATACAGATTTCATTTTTTATATTTTTTATATATATATGTATGTATTTGAAAACACAAGAGTTAGTAATACATGATGAGTAATTGCTCAGCTATCAACCCCAATATGAGAGTTCACAGTGGAGGGTGGGAGGGGAAAGTTATTGTGCCTGTTTTCTCTAAAGGCAAACTAGACTAAAGCCACACATTCAGCACTGCTTACAAATACTTGTGATGTTAGCACATCTGCATCAGAGCCATGCAGTGTGTAAGTGGAAGACAGTGCAGTCACAGTGCATCTGACACCGACTGTTACCATTAAGTAAAGCTTTGTTAGAAAGCAAGCATATGTTTGACATGGGAAAGGACAACTGACTGATCTAAAAGAGTCTTTTTGTGGATATAGGTGCTGTAAAGGCTATTTTTAGCCATTTTTACATCTATTTTGTACACAGGCAAAATCCATCAGAAGAAAACTTCCAGGTGACCCTATGACTAAATCACTGCACACTCTGCTCCTGTGTGCTTGCTGAGGACCTGCTCAGCAGAAAGCAGCTGTGAACGTCACTTATCCCAGCCCATACATCTCTATGTCCATATATCGTGTGGTCCTCAGTGCCAGCCTAGAGGGTGCTTCTCACGGGTACTGGCTAATTTAACAGACACAGGTAAGGCTGGAAGGGTCCATCTAATCCATCCCCACCTACTGCATGAGGTAGGTCTATGTTGTCTGATCAGCTGTAAAGCTCTCAGCAATGAAATCCTAACAGCAGCCCTGGGACAGCCAATATGCTAGAGCTCAACCAGGAAAAGGAAGTATAGGAGCACTGTTTCTTTCTTAAACCCTCTCCTCCTCTTTACTTTCCAAAACTAGATGAGAGCCATGAAAGGATAACAAAGAAATTCTACATCAGTAGCAGGGGACAGATGTTCACCCCTTTCTTATGTCTACAGTAAAAACCATGTTTCTCCCTCTTCCCTCATCAAATATCTATTATCAGACAGTCCATAGGCCAGTGACAGTCTCTATTCCTCTCTTTGGGAGCACCAGGAGGGAAGTTTGATGGGTTTTGTGGCCCTGAGAGAGAAGAAGGCAGGATGGATTAATTTATTTAATTATTATAGCAAAGAAGACTCACACAATGTAAAAAGGAGTTCTGCTTCCTTGACCTGCCCTGCAGGTCTCCAGCACAGAGGAGAGGGCTTCTGGGACATGAGATGTGGTCCCACCTACAGGCTGCCCTCTCTCCTGGGTTAAGCCAGGTGCTGCATGGGCACCAGCAGCTGGCTTGGGGCCCTCTGAGGCTTGCAGAGAAGCAAACAGAAACCCTCCCGATAACTGTGAGGTTTGGCAACAACTGTGAAACAGAGATCAGAGGCAGCAATAACGAGAGGTTAAATGTGTGTTAGAAACAGGGCTATTCTCAAAATTCAGCAGTTTATCGTAAGTCACCAGTTTGTAATATTGCTATAATTGTGTAACCTACACTGTTTCCCTAACTCCAACAGATGCTTGAATATTCCTTTAACTTGGAATGCACAACAGATATTCATGTGTGCAGACATCTGTACAGACACACAAACATACACATACATAACTTAAGAATGAGCAAATAAAGCTATACAATCATTATAAAAGAAGGATTGGCCAATAGCAGAACTTAAAATTACACTGCAGAATGTATACTTCCGTCTTGGCTGCTGCCCATATGAATCTCAGAAGCAATAAAGAACAGAAGCATCTTCTGTTTACTTCATTCTCTTTGCAACATCCAAGTACGCATACTCAATTTCTTGATCAGCAGGACAAGTGTTTGTAAATTCATCTCTTGCGTATGCATTGTTCAAGTATCTTGAAATCCCTGTCATTTCAGGTGGAAAATCAAAATTTCTATATTTTTTTGCAACAACCTTTTATTAAAAGAAAAAAGAAAAATATAATTACATACATGATCTGAAAAAAAAACCCAAATCTCCTCTTAGTTTTAATTTTCAATGTGCAAGTCTGTTGTTATATGCAACACAAGGGTAAAGAAATGAAGAAAGCTAGCTCACAGGCTAACTCACTTACAGGATTTATTTGGTATAAATACTCTGCTAGAGCTATGCAGAGCTATGTGGACCAGTAGACCACACCTGGAAGAGACACAGCTTAAAAGAGAAAAGGAGCTAGCATAAACCAGAATTAACAGATCAATCTTATAGTAACAAACTGCCCCACACTTGGATACTTTCACTGAAAGGAAAAACTTGAATTGAAATATTAAATTTCAAATGGCTAGGGGAAACAACTATCGGCTGATACCTAAACCCTCCCTGCTGGCCAGCAAGGGATGGTGTGATGTTCATCCTCCATCATCCTTCAGGCATTCACCTGGCATAACGTCAGTCTCCCCATATTGGCCCTGCTGACCCTGCTACTTCTGAGCTTTGCTGTGCCTGTAGTCACAAAGGACACTTTCTAAAGGGACCTAGTTTGTTTGAAAGCCAATGAATTTCCAGTGCAGCCATTTCTCTGCCAGAGCTTGGTTGGCTCCAGAGTAGCCCAGTGACACACATCTTGGTCACTAGGACTGTTAGATAAGTGTAGATGTTCCACAGCCCTGCAAGAGGAAGCTGGGAACCTTGGCTGGAAGGCAATGGGTGATTGTTACCTTGCTGATGTTATTGATACTAGTGATGATATTCAGCCAAGCAAGAGTTTTGAATTAAAAGTAGGAGAGACAGGATTGAATTTCAGTTTCTGTTGGCTTCTTGAATTGGCATGGACAAAATAATTTAACCTTATTGGTCCATGCTCATAAGCATTTTGCCTATGAAATGTAAATGAAAACACTTCTCTACAGCACTCATTTCATACTTACGAGAGGCTTAGTGAGTGCAGTCACAGCCCAGATATGAAACCAGACATTCTAGCACCAGAGTCATCAAACTGAGGATCTGCCTCACTGCGCTGTAACAAAATGGCCTTATGCACTAGCATACCGTGTCCCAACACAACCACTGTGTGGCCTCAGAACATATAAAAGGATTCCTCTGCATTTTAGAAAAGGACTTGAGCTTCTGTGCCACTCTTCTCTTTAGGAAGCTAAAAAACAAATGCAAACCTTAATTATATGGAGCTTTGGTAGGAGGTTGCAATCTGCTAAGGTGAGATCATCTCCATCCAGGAATTTCCGACTGGAAACAGTGATCTCCTCAGTGCTGTAAGCATCGATTTCATCAGGCAAGGGGCTATTTAAATAGTTGTCCAGCTTCCTCAGGGCTTTAAGCAAAGATTTTTCCAAATCTAGGTTAAGACAATAAAAAGGTTATTCAAGCCTGTACCAAGATCTCTCTGACACCAAACAGAAAGGCAACTCCTGTATCCTGTCTCCTGGCACCAGCCCAGCTCACAGACATCTGGCCATGCCAACTCCTGCAATTCCCTTATCCTAAGCTTAAAACTTAATGCTGGGATAAGAGCCCTAAGTAGCTAAATGGGGTTCTGAGAAAAAACGGAATGGGGCTGTGCTACCAGAAATGGCTCCTCAGACACCTCTGTGGGGCATGCTTTTGCAGAGTGACCTGGCAGAGTGGCTCTGCCTTCACCCTGACTTCTCACCTTGCGAGCCATGGAGCAAGTGCCTGCCCACAGGCAGGGCAGCGAGGCTGGGAGCGATGACAGCAAGTGTACTAGAATTGTACAGCTCTGATTTCTCCCAGTAGCTACTAGGTCTGACTAGCAGACTGCAGCACTTACTTTCATTAGCATCTTTTCTTGGGTTCTTTATGAATGCAGAGAATTTTGCAAACACATCGTTTCCTGCAGAGTTAGACTCAGGGTGGTTCGGTGCAAGCTTGGGATACCTGGGGAGTTGAACAAGAAAAGTTATATGACTAACCTTTATTTTCATCTCCATTAATTGACATAGATTATTTTTACACTGCAGTGTCACAATATACACAGGACTCTCAAAGGGAGCCATCCTGAACTGAAGATCACTTGGCAAACGATTTTAAACATACCTAAGCCATGTGAATGACCACCTTTCCCTGAGGGAGATGGGAAACAACTGTTATTACTGCAAACACTACCCAAACAGAACAGTGGCTCTCCTAGGCCTCCTCCAGGCTCCTGGCATGAGGAAAAGCAGAGGGAAAACCCCTACTCACACTAGCTGCTGCTCCTCCCAGCCTCCTTGCCTGGACAGCTCAAGTGTCAGCAAGCTCAGAGCAGCCAGCCCAGTAGCTGTTGTTGCTAGAGGCAGAGAGGAAAGGGAAAGAGCAACTGCTTGCCTGGTTTAAGTCAGGATTAGATGCTTGAGAAGGGGTCACTGAGGAGACAGCTTCCCCTGTCAGGTACATGGACAGGATGCTGCTGATGGTGGGACAGCAGGGTTTGGGGCAAGGTGGAAAGAGCTGCTGGGGTGCGGAAGCACAAGTCTGCACATGCAGTTCTAGCACATGCATAATGAATGAAGGCTTGACCCAGCAAAACCAAGCGGTGTGGTCACTGAACCCCCACTGAGGACCATGAGGGACTGAAAGCAAGAGAAGCGGACAGGAATACAGTACCGGGGTGGAGACAGCTTTTCTTCCAAGAACTCCTCAATCTTGTTGACATCAGTTTTCACTTCACCATCAAATGTCATGAAGGGAGGGTTTGTTCCCGGGGCGAGGTTCTGCAGGTCAGCAGGCTTTCTGATGGGAGGAAAGAGAAGGGGTTAATCAATGCAGGAACCACATTTGCAATTTCTACATTTAATTGCAACAAACTGTTTCACCTTTAAAACAACAGGCTGCTCTGCATCCTTCTCACAAAATAAACCTTAGCCCAGCTGCCTCACACCAGTGGTGTGAGAATTCGTTAGCCCGTACCTGAACGTGCTCTGAAATGCTTAAAAAACACCTCAAAACTTCTGTGTCATGTTAGAGACCTACTGCAAAACAGATTAAAACCTCAGCTGCTTCAAAGGAGCTAGTCCACCTTATACTAGTGAATCCTAAAGAGGAATCAGGCATCCAGACTGTTAACACAATGCCATGCCACGGTGTCATTTCAAATCTATCAGAAGAGAGTCATCCTTTAAAATCACCATTTTGGAAGAGCTGTTCTGAAAAGAGAACTCTGGTTACAACCTCACCTTTTCAAATCCACGGTTGTGACATTGAATATGACACCTTTTAGCCACAGAATCATAAAGAGACGCTGAGAGAATGGGCAATTTCCAATGCTTTCCCCATCACTGCCAGCCTGTAAGTAAAAAAGAAAAGGTACACATACATCTGTGATAATAGCAAATTCTGATAGCAGATGCAGAAGGAAAGCAGAAAACTCAGGTCTGCTTTGAGTACATATAGCATGTTACCCATCTCTACCAAGACACATTTTCATGCAAATTTTCTGTATATCCTTCTCCAGACATGCACAGAGATATGACGAAGAATCCTGTCATCTTGGAGCTGTAGTTTTTCATTACAATGCATAATGAATGTAAGTTAGAAAACAAAACTGAAATTACAGCAGTCTTTCCAAAGGAAATAATCTCCACCTCATTTGTCCATGTGAACATAAATCTACCTAAGTCACTGCATGATTAAAACCAGTTGAGTCGTTTTATGATCACAGGAAACAAACAGAGACTTACCAACATAAATTGAGATGTAATGGCCAAAGCACTTGAGGGAATGAACAGAATAAATCAAACAATTATGAGTTTCAAAGTAAACAACTACGGGAGCCCCAGAGAGAAGGGAAGTTCAGTGCTGAACCCATCTGTCTGTGCTTTGCTGAACTGAGAACTAATGAAGCACAAGTGCCATGTCCCCCTGTGTAATCCCTCCTTGTTACAGTCCCAAGGGTCTCACTTTTAAGTGTGAAGTGTGGCTGTACCCAAGCCATGTAACCTCTTTTTCTGTGTGCCCCTCTTTCCTTTTGATTAAACATATCATTGGGTGTCAGTATAAAGCACTAAAGGTATAACTCACTATACATGTGGTCACAGAAGTGTTGCTCTCACGCACTTTATATTGCATTTTGTTAAGAGGCTTTGTTAAAATAAGGCAGTCTTGCATAGTTGCTATTAGTTGAGTTAGGCTTCACACAACATTGCTGGAAAAGATCAGAGGTCTAATTTTTAAGCCCTTCATACGATTCTCCTAAAGCACAGTTTCAAAACTTAGATTAAAAGCAAGTGCACAGAAGTAAAAAACCAGGTGTATCATTTACTCAGTTAATAGGTTAGTCCATTAAGTTTTGCAGACCTTATAACCAAATGACACACATTAATGAAACCAGTTCTGCTTGCTGTTTCACCTTCCTCAACGCTATCAAATGAATCTCAACTATAGTAAAAAGCTCTCCATAAACAAACATTGCCGTTGGATTGCTTTACAGTGCTCACCTTCACAAAGAGCTCTATGTCTGGAAATGAGCACCTGGTCTGGAGCAGGCAAGTTTCTGCCATGGAGCTTGAGGGACGTATGAGAAAGGATGCTCCTGCAGCTTGATAAACCTTCTTATTCTCTCTATCAACCTGAATGATCCTCCTCTGATAACTCTCTGTTGCTTTCTGCCTCTGGTACTGCCACAGCCACTGGCTTTCTTGTTAGTGAAAACCATAATAACTTATTGTCATAAGCACTGCCAGGGGATGAAGACTTTTAGAAATGCGAAAACAGCTGGACTTCTGTGTTAGAAAACTCTTGTTTTGTAGGTGGCAAAAATGAAAGCTGGTCAAAGCTACTATTGTATTTTTCCTCCTACTCAGAGCACTGCTTTGCAGTGCTGTACAGCTTACAGCAACAAGATAGGAAACAACTGTGCATTTCATAAAAATGAGACTAGAAATGCTGCTAGCATGTGCTTAAAATAGAGCTAAATACATAACACCACCATTTTGTCTCACCCTGCCTCTTATGCCAGGTTTTACCTACTCCCCCAAGGAAAAAGGAGGGTGATGGGTATTACTGTGCCCCCTTGATGCTAGCAATGTGCACCCCCACCCTCCACCAGGCTGCAGAGGGCAGAAGCAGCAGCCAGAGGACATCGTTTAGCATGTGCCATGCCTAGAGGAGTCAGGCAAGCACATCTGGCTCCCTCTAACTTTTACTGTTGGAGTTAAGGAAACATGGGTTTTGCTTCATTTTGTCCCCCACCACCTTGGTGACATTACACTTCAGAGCAGCCCCAGCCTGCTCTTCTGGGGAAATGTCCATAGGTAGAGTCAGGGATCGAGGTCAGGGCAGGTGTCTTACCATGAGTAACACAGGCATGAAGCAGGCACTGAGTCCCAGTTTGTCCTTAGCTGGAAGGACACACAGGCAACCAGGAAGCTGGGGGATGACAGTCCTGGAGATGGTACAGAAGCAACCTCCTGTCTTGTTTCTAAGCGCAAACTTTTTAACGTCCATGCCTACTTGGGAGGAGAATTTGCTGCAGCACTACTTTCTATTTTGCACTGGATAAAATAGCAAACAGCAAATCTCTCAGCCTTTACCTTCATGGCTTTAGCCTGCCAGCAGCCTGCTAGCAACCTAGCAATAAAAGAAAAGAGGACTTGAATAAAACAAGGGATTAAGCATTACTGATTACAGCAATGCTCTGCCAACTGTAATGACTGAGGTGATCAGCTGTTTATTTGGTACTTTTTGATGACTTCTATGGGCTAGTTCTGATGGTGTTAAACACACTGACGAAAGCCAAAAGGCATCTGACCTTCACATCCTGTGCTGCCTCCTCTCCCATGCTGCTTACAAGGAACGTTAATAGCATACTGCTCTCTTAGCTGTGTTCTGTGCAAAGCAGGCATTACAGTCTCTAGTGAAGTGCTGCAGTGTTTGCCCAGCTTTCTTGTCACCAGTGGTTATGGAAAGCACTTGGCTTTTACAGCAGAAAATAAATTCACAGAGATTAGGATGTTTCCTCACTTCTGATGTGGCCATGATCCTTCTCTCAGGCTAAGAAGAAAACCTGAGAAGTTTCCTTGTGCAATCCGTGGTGCACTTTATTGATTTAAATCCATTCTAAAAGCCCACACTATCCAGGCAGTGTAGTACACCCCAATGTCTTAGATGGGGCCGTGTGCTCTAGGATTGCTGTGCCTGAACTGAGAAGAACAGTCATCGATTTGGGAGTTCCTCAGTGAAACTTAGCTGCTGAGGTGCTACGGTAAAGGAGGCAGCAGCCATTCAAGTAGAGACAACTGAGAAGCTGGTGAACCACATCAGGCTTTAGGAAGCTGAAAGCCATTTAGTCCTCAGGGGCTTGAGCTCTGGGTGTGAGGTGAAGGGATGACAAATCTCCAGGTTTGCCACGCCAGGGCTAGTGGTGGGCACCTCCAGGTTTCTTTCAGTTCTGCAGAACTGAAGGCAGATAACAGTAGCCCACACAACAGCACAAGCAGTGATTAAACCTTTCCCTACTGTAACAGTGACCAGCAGTCAGAAGTGACTGCAAGACCTTAAACACCAAATCTGATTCAGACTTTGACGCAGTTAGACTTGGCACCTCAAAGATGCTACAGCTTCCTGTAACCTTTGCTGAAAGCCCAGAACGTGGATATTTTGGCGTACTGTGGAACACAGAATGAATACAACTAGCTAAATGCCTTCAGATACCTCAGCTTGCATTTTGGCTTACAGGAGACAACTCTGTTCTCCTAACTCAGTTCTCATCTAATCTGGGGGCTACAATTGCTACTGGACATAAAAGCATGAGTGATACATGCCAAAAGCATTTGTTCAAGTTTTCAAACAGAGGGTCTGCCATGATGACACCAGCCACTCAAAAATCATGAGCTGGGACACTGAAATAGCTTTATAGCTGTGTACTGAGCAAGACAACAATACCTGAAATATACCATCATTGTGTGATAATGTACTTTCCAACAAAGCAAGGGTGCCCTTTTTACAGAAGTAAGACTGTGTGCCGGTATCTTACCTAGCAGGACACGATGCATCAGTAAGAGAATCAGAGAAGACCCATATTTAATACCCTCAGGAAGATAGTGCAACGAGAGGCATTGCAGCCTGGGAACAAAACTCCCTGCATTTTTCTCCACACCACTGCACAGGGATGTGCAACTTTGAGCTGTGCCTGGTACACACACAGAATTTAATTACACTTCCTCACTGCTGTGCTTAGTGATGATGGAGGGTGAGATCTTAACTGCGGTCATGTCAGCTGGAGTCCCTTGTTGTTGATTCAATGGAGGATTGTGTTTCCAGACTGGTTATAATCGTAATAAGCAGGCAAATGCTGCTGTAATTGTAGGTAATACTGCATGATGGCCTCCACCTGCAATTGTGACAGTCTCTTAAACATTCAGATCTTGTGGATGAAGTGGGCCAAGTCCCCAGAACACAAAGCTGGTTTTTATGCTCTTCTGCTGCTTAGATGGCAAACCAGCACCTTGAGCAAGTGGCATTTATGTTTTAATTGTGATTGGTCAGGAGGTCAGTGTGCTTTTTCTAGTAATACTGGGATTTAATGAGTTCATTAATCAAACAATTAAGATATCCCTTGCTGCAGAGGAGAAAAATGTCAGGCCGTGCACAGAAGCTTTAATTCAGAGCCATCAGAGCCTTAGGCAGTGACTGTGGCAGTATCGACTTCTGACAGCTCTCTGTAATGATGTGCCGTTACTTAACAGGATTATTAGCATGCACTCCCTGTTTTCATTTGCTTTTCACTGTTCCACTCTCTTCAGTCTATTTTTCTGTTGTTGTTCGAGGTCTTCCTCAAAGATGCTGGGAAAAGGAGAAGCTATCCACACCCTTCTTCCCACTACTGCTTAAGCTCCCAAGAGTAGAAGCACCACCATGCCTTAGGCTAATTTCACTAGGCAGAAAGACCTTAGGCACAAGATATCAAAGAGGGTCCTAAAAGCACTACATTCAGTTTCTGGAGCTGCAGCTCTGCTTTTCTAGGTTGCCTTGAAGAGGCCACTTGCTTCCACATCCTCATCCACACCAAGAGGATAATTATAGTGAATTCTCTCAGGAGTCACACACTGTATGTCATTCTTAAGCCAGTAGTTGGGGCTCTCCCTGAGCTGGAGTGGCTGTGCCCCTGGAGCTGTTGTAAGAATTTGTTTTGTAACTGTTTCTGTCCAAACATCTCAAGAACCAGGTCTTTGAAGGTTCTTCTATTGACCTCAAACATTCTGCGCCTTTAAAATCGTGATGAGTGGAATTTGTTTTTCCTGGACTTTTTCTTTCCTTTTGAAGGTTAAGCATGGAAGAAACAGTTCA